TCCCCAGCATTATGCTCACCCAAATCAATGACCTGTTTTCATGTACAACCACCCACAAAGGATTAATTAACATGCAGGGTTTTCACATTGTGCTGTACACCTGACATGCTGTCCATGTGAACCCAGGCAACCCTCAAATAAAACAAGCCATGGGTTATTCCTGGGTTGTCTGTCCCTCAAACAAACCTTTCATCGGGGTATCATGTAAATATGGTGCTCATGGGCACCCAGGATAAAGTGACAGCCCCTGCAGGTAAATTAACCTTGTGGGATATTGTGTCATGTGAAAAAGATGCGTATATCTAGCCCAGTATGTTGCTTGTAAACGGCTTCATAAATCAAGTCCATCCTTACAGCACATACTCCAATCTTCCAGTGCCCTCCAGATGTTGCTGGGCTCCCAGGATTTCCTACCATTGGCCATGCTGGCTGGAGCTGTTGGGAGTTGATGTCCCCGCAAAAACTGAAGGATAACAGGTTGGGAAAGGCTGCTGTAGGCCAAAAAGCATTCCCAAAATAGTGCTTGTGGGAGGCATTAGAACAGGGGTCTCAAACTCGCAGCCCACGGGCCAATTGCCGGGAGGGGCGGGGCACGGGCGAGGGGCCCTGCGGCCTTCAAAGCGCCGGCGGAGCCTGGGCTGGCCCTGGGATGAACGGCCCACCACCGCCGCGGTGGTGGAATACTTGATGCGGCCCAGCCTCACCCAGACTCTACTTCCATCGGCCCCCAGGTACGTTGAGTTTGAGACCCCTGCATTAGAAGATGTAGACTGACTCAGTCATGGGAGTGTTGCTGCCTGAGTTACTGGGGCTGACAGGGTACTGTGGTGTCGCTATATGCTTACTGATGGAAAGGGCTGTCTGTATCTTGAGTCTACGGCTGCTTCAGCATGTGGGTGTCACTGCTAGCATAGCCTCTGTCCAGTGGACTTTGGTGGTGTTTCCAGGAATACCCTCGGTAGAATACCCTCGGTGGCCTGCTGTGACGACTTTGCCCAGAACTTTAAGGAGAAAATCGCTCCGATTCGTCACAAGCTGGACTCTACTAGTGATTCAGATTCTCAAGGGGAGGTGCTGATGTCGCCGTCTGGTCACATATTGTTGGATGAGTTTCAGTTGTTGCGGCCTGATGATGTGGACAAGGTGCTTGGACAAGTACATCCTACCACCTGTTTACTTGACCCTTGCCTGTCTTGGCTACTGACCAAAGCCAAACACGGGATTGGTGCCTGGATCCTGGAGGTCTTCAACGCCTCTCTAAGGGACAGCCGGGTGCCTGCCCCTCTAAAGGAGGCAGTGGTCAGGCTGGTCCTAAAGAAGGCATCCCTGGATCCAGAGATGGCCACCAATTATAGACCAGTGGCCAACATCCCATTTTTGGGCAAGGTGTTGGAACGGGTGGTGGTGAGACAACTCCAAGCTCTCTTGGATGAGACTGATTATCTGGACCCATTTCAGTCCAGCTTCAGACCCGGGTATGGTACTGAATCTGCCTTGGTCGCTCTGTATGATGACCTGTGCAGGGAGAGAGACGGGGGGAGTGTGTCCCTGTTGGTCCTCCTGGACCTTTCAGCGGCTTTCGATACCATCGACCATGGTATCCTTCTGGATAGGCCCTGCTTTGCAGTGGTTCCGCTCCTACCTTGATGGCCAACTCCAGAAGGTGGTGCTGGGGGACGTTGGTTGTGTGCCATGGCAGCTATGCCATGGAGTTCCGTAGGGGTCCATTTTGTCCCCCTTGCTGTTTAACATCTACATGAAACCGCTGGGAGAGGTCATTAGGAGGTGTGGGCTGCGGAATCATCAGTACGCTGATGATACCCAGCTCTACCTCTCGTTTTCAACCAATCCAGGTGAGGCAGTGGCTGTACTGAACTGGTGCCTGGCCGAGGTAATGGGCTGGATGAGGGCCAATAAACTGAAGCTCCATCCAGACAAGACGGAGGTCCTGTTGGTGGGTGGTTCGAGCTCCTGGGTGGGTGACTTGGACCTTGTCCTGAATGGAGTTGCACTCCCTCTGAAGGACAGGGTCTGCAGCTTGGGAGTGCTCCTCGATTCAGAGCTGTCCTTGGAAACTCAAGTGACTGCGGTGGTGAGGAGCACTTTCCTTCAGCTTCAGCTAATCCATCAGCTGCGTCCCTACCTGGAGGACGATGGCCTAGCGACAGTGACGCATGCATTGGTTACTTCCTGGTTGGATTTCTGTAACTTGCTTTACGTGGGGTTGCCCTTCAGATGGATACTTCAGATGGTGCAAAATAGAGCAGCCAGGTTGCTGACGGGGCTGGGTGTTATTCTCACATAACCCCAGTCCTCTACCAGCTTCACTGGCTACCTATCAAAGTCTGGGCTCAATTCAAGGTGCTGGTCATCACCTACAAAGCCCTCAACAGCTTGGGACCTGGATACTTGAAGGAACGCCTGCTTCCATATTTGCCCTCCCGCCCCTTGAGATCAGCAGCAGAGGCCCTCATCCGGGAGCCCTCCGTGAAAGACATCAGGAGGCAGAATACCCGGAGAAGGGCTTTCTCTGCGGAGGCGCCCCATCTATAGAATGTGCTCCCCAGAGAGGTCCGCCTGGCACCATCGTTATTTGCTTTTCAGCGCCAGGCAAAGACCTTTTTATTCAAACAATATTTTAACATCGTTTAATATTATCTATAAGTTTTAATTTGCAGCCAGAATGAATCGGGTTTTTAATTTGTATAATGTGTATTTTTTGTATTATGTTTATTTATGTAAGCCGTCCCGAGGCGTTAAGCAAGGGGACGGCATACAAAACCTCTAAATAAATAAATAAAATAATAAATACATCTGTATACAGGAAAATCTTCTATAGCATGGGTCCTCAAACTACAGCCCGGGGGCCGGATCCGGCCCGTCATGCCCATTTATCCGGCCCACCATGCCCATTTGGACCTGCTGTGCACGCGCCTGCACCCACGCGTGTGCCCACCACCACCCACCTTGCCCCGCGCATGGGGAGGCAGCGGCTTGCTCACTTGGAGAAAACAATCTCCAAGCGAGCAAGCTGCTGCCTCGTGCACTCGCCTCATGGTGCGTGCCCGCCACCCCGCTGGCTCGCACACCTCCAGCCCCACCTTTCCGGCCTGCACCCCGCACTGGCACCTTTCAACTGGCGCCCTGGTGAAACAGTTTGAGGATCCCTGTTCTACAGTGTTTCTCTTTCTTCTTGTCCAAACACATACAGGATATGGTGGCCATTCTGCTGGCATTATCTGTTCCAGCATAAGTAAGGTTGGATTACTGTGGATCACTGTGTTAAATCTTATTTGGACTGCCTCTCTTGGCTAGAAAGCAGCCTTGTGTCTCAAAACTGTCCAGGTTTCGCAAACACCAAACTTGCCTCTAGATTCCAAAGCAAGTGTTCTTAGACAGACAGGGGGAGTGTGTCCCTGATGGTTCTCCTGGACCCTTCAGCAGCATTTGATACCATCTGCCACGGTATCCCTCTGGGTAGGCTGGCTGGGTTGGGAGTTGGGGGCACTGCTCTGCAATGGTTCTGCTCTTACCTGGCTGACCGATTCCCAATGGTGTTGCTGGAGGAATGTAGCTCTGCACCATGCCAAGGATGTCATGGAGTACTGTAGGGCTCCATTCTATCCCCCAAGCTTTTCAACATTTACATGAAGCCACTGGGAGAGGTCGTCGGGGGTTTGGGCTGAAGTGCCATCAGTACAAGTGATGACACTCAGCTTTACCTCTCATTTTCATCAAACCCAGGTGAGGTGATGGTCCTAAACCAGTGCCTGGCTGGGGTGATGAACGGGATGAGGACCAACAAATTGAAACCTAATCCAGACAAGGCAGAGATGTTGTTGATCGGTGGCTCGGCTCCCATGTCCAGATGGAGGATATCTGCCCTGTCTTGAGTGGGGTTACACTCCCTCTGCAGGACAGGTCCGGAGCTTGGGGGTGCTTCTGGACCCTGAGCTGACCCTGAAGCACTAGGCTGGCTCAGTGGCCAGGAGTGCCTTCCATCAGCTCTGATTAATTCATCAACTTTGACCATATCTGGACAGGCAGGACCTAGCAACAGGAACCCATGCAAGGGTAACCTCTTGTTTGGACTACTGTAATGTGTTCTAGCTTGAGCTGCCCTTGAAAATAGTCCACAATTTACAGTTGGTGCAAAACAGAGCAGCTAGGCTGCTGACAGGCCTGGTAGTACCAAATATATTACACCAGTCCTCTATAAATTGCACTGCTGCCCACTGAAGTCTGGGCCTGCTTCAAGGTGCTCATTTTGATGTATAAAGCCCTAAATGGTTTAGGACTTTGAATATCTGAAAGAGTGTCTCCATTCACATAAGCCTACCTGGACCCTGAGATCATCATCAGAGGTCCTGTTCTAGGAGCCATTTCTAAAAGAAGCTAGGAGGACGGCTACCTGAGGCAGGGCCTTCTCAGTTGTGGCATCCCATCTTTGAAATTGACTTCCCAGGAAAATTCATCAGCACCATTCTTATACATATTCTGGCACATTTTTATTTAAGGAGCATTTTAATTGTTGATTATTTTAATTGGAATTTAATTTTATATTTTAATATAAATTTCCATTTGCTTAATTATGGCATTTATAATAGTTGCAATCTGTTGTTAAACTACTATTTGGTGTTCCTCCTATGATGTTATTTATTATTGCTATTCTGGTTTTAACTGTCTAAATAGGATGTTTTATCATGTAAACCATAGCCATGTGACTATGAGAAAATATACGAGAGAGAGAGAGAGAGAGAGAGAGAGAGAGAGAGAGAGAGAGAGAG